CCTGTTTATTAACTAGTCTATTGACTAGTCTGTGACTTAGTCTGTTGGCTAGACGATTGACTAGTCTACTGAATGGCTTATTGAGTCGTGTATCTATTAACAAGTCTATTGACCTGTCTATTAACTAGTCTATTGACTAGTCTGTGACTTAGTCTGTTGGCTAGACGATTGACTAGTCTACTGAATGGCTTATTGAGTCGTGTATTGACTAATCTATTGACTCGTCTAAGGACTAGTCTATTGATTAGTATATTGACAAGTCTGTGAACTAGTCTATTGTGTAGTCTGTGATCTAATATATTTTGCTAGTCTAGTATATTGACTAGTCTATCGAAAAATCTATTTTCGAATCTTATTAAAAAGTTAATTATAAGTATATAGCTTTTCGATTCATTATAGACCTACATATATAGGTATGTATGTATCATTTATTAAATAAAATTATAGCGTTTATTTTAAATCTTATATTTAAATGTTTATATTATAAATTTTTATTGAAATTATTTATTGTTATTATTATTTTTATTATTGTTATACAAGTAGACAATTTACAATAGTTATTAAAATAATATAATTTGATTTTTATATATATACGACAATGTCATTAATATATTGTTATATTTATTACTATTGTATTTATATTTCAATTATTATGATCAGATTTAAACAAAATTAATTAACATTCAATTGATTTAATTATGTATTAACAATTTTCGGTTTTCACAGTTTAAGCTTTAAACAACAAAAAAAAAGTTGTATGTATATCAAAAGCATTTGTCAAAGTTGTCAAATAATTGAGGGTCCCAACCAAAAGAAATCTATAAAGAATTAAATTTCGAAAGAGATTTCTGCTTAAAACACTTTCAATCTAACAAAATATAATTTGTTTTACAACTTCTTACATATAAACTGTGAAAAGCCTAAATATTTATAATAATTTGTTATTTCTTTTATTATATACTTTTTTTTTTTGCATAAATTGTTTGTAGTTTATTGTATATAATTTATTATTTTTTTTTTTTTTTATATTTTCAAAACATTTTTGTATGTTTGTTTATGTCATTATATTTTAATTAAATTATTAATATTAATTATTTATCTGCTTTTTAATTTGCTTCAAAAACTAATTATTTTCAATTTGTTATTAATTAAAATTACATAATTTATTTGAATTGTTTATTTTAGTTTTACGTACAAATTTGATTATTTTATATATAAATCGTATACTTGATTTTTATTTTAAGCTTTTTGGAAGTTAAAAACTTAATTAAAAACTATATTATTAATAGTATTTAAGAAAATAATTTGTGATATTTAAGAAATATATTTAAAAAAATAATTTCAGAAAAGTAAACATTAATACTAAAGGATTTTTTTTTTACAGATTTGCAAAATACTATTGTGCTAAACGATTTTAAAATCAGGGGCCATATTAACGCATTCTTAATCCAAAGAGATGTATCAATAGACTAGTCCATAGACTGTTCAATAGACTAGTTCAAACTCTAGTCTGTAGACTCGCCAATAAACTAGTTCATTGAATAGTCCATAGACCGGTCCATAGGCAAGTTAACAGATTAGTCCATAGATAACTTCCAAGGATTTTAAAATCCAAGGGCCGAATTAACGCATTCTTTATCTATTAAGATGTGTTAATAGACTAATCCACAGACAAATCCATAGATTAGTCCATAGACTGTTCAATAGACTAGTCCAAACTCTAGTCTGTAGACTAGCCAATAAACTAGTTCATAGAATAGTCCGTAGACCGGTCCACAGGCAAGTTAACAGATTAGTCAGTCCATAGATAAGTCAATACACTAGTCCCTGAGCTACTACATAGACTAAACCTAAAATAGTTTAGTACATAGAAGAGTCAACAATCTAGTCCATGGTATAGTTCAAATACTGGTCCATAGACAAGTCTATAATGTAGTTCATAGTATTGTCAATAGACTAGTCCATAGACAAATTAATAGATTAGTTGATATACCAGTCAATAGACTAGTCCCTGAACTACTCCATAGAACAGTTCATAGATTTACCCATATACTAGTATATAGTCTAGTCCTTATACTAGTCCATAATCTAGTCCTTAGACTAGTCCATAATCTAGTTAATAGACTAGTCCATAGAGAAGTTAACAGAATAGCTGATAGACAAATCATTAGGGATTAAACCCTGTACTACACCACAAACAAATCTATGGATGAGTCCAAAGACTAGTTAGTAGACTATATATACATAGCCTAGTCTAATAGGGTAGTTCATATACTAGTCAAAAGTCTATTAACTAGTGGATAGACTAGTCCAACGTTTATATCCATAAACTATAGACTAGTTAAGAGAATAGTCCATAGATTAATCAATACACTACACAATAGAACTAACAATGGACTAGTCAATAGTTTGGATCATTGAATAGTAAATAGACTAGGTCAAAATATTATGGGTTCAATAAACTTGGGATTCATTAGTTGTGACAAAATATTGTTACTATTCACATAAAACACCGTATTGATGACACGATTTAGAAAACAACAATTATATACTTCTCAATTGTGACTCTTCTACTCTTCTCCCTGACAAAAAATATACTGTATAGAAAATAATACGCTCATCATCCATACAGATGGATTCAAGTCTATGGAGGGTGGTGAATGGTGTCTATATCCCTAATTTTAGAATACAAGTGCGCTTTCGAGTTACTAAATCAGGTGGTTTAGGTTCTGATTCAGCATACTTTTATGTGTAATGATCTTAAATATAGGAAAAGCACTCCAACTCTGGTATTCGAATGTAATCGGAATTTCCATTTAAAATCTACCTAGAATTTTAGTTCTATAGCCGGTTCTAACAGAAAACAATGGTAAATATCAAGAACCAGCTACAAGGATTATAAATTCTAACAAAAACCATTGATTAAAAGATTGACTTTAGAACCGTACCACCAAACAAGTATCGAGTCTATAACGCTTTCTAAGAACACGTTAAGAAGGTTTCATTTTAAAACAAATTATCGTTTTCAACTCCAAACTAGAGCATAGATTCATTTATTCAAATTCTGAACTTAAACGCAGCTTAATCCTTTAGAAAAGTATACTCAAAGCTAACAAATACCAATAGGTCGAGTCGGTAAGACCTTAGACTTATTCCCTATCACTCTGTCTCTTAGTTATGTCGTTCTATTTAATCTTGATGAAAGTAAACAGCAGTCTGCGATTGGAGTTGCAAATTATGCTGCCTAATCTTAATGAAACCTAATGTCATGTCATCAGTTTATTGTGAATGATTCATTTTACATGACATTACTGTTAAAACTAAAATGTTAACTGGATTTCAATGCAATAAAGGACACTAGTAAATTGCTAATTTGTTTAAATTGGGAAAAAGCTATTATTTTAAAAAATTTCCTTTAGCTTAATGAATTTCAAATTTAATTTTAAGAAATAACATATTTTTTAAATTTTATAAAAAAAACTATCACAAAATATTGTAAATTTCTAACAATTGCATTTAAATACATATTTATAGTTTTTGTTTTTTAATAATTTATAGAAAATTGGAAGAAATTTTATTTAAAAAATATTCACAATTTTATTTATATATTTAAAAAAAATCATAAAATTACATGTTTGTTTTAGTTTTTAAATAATTATAATAAATTTTTGTTGTATATAGTTACTTTTAAATATTTAAATTATTTAAGCTTAATAATAATTATTATTATTACTTTATTTATTAAACATATAATTTTATGTTATAAACTAATAAAAAAACAAATTTGTGAATATCTTAAAAAAAAGTTATTATTATAGTTTGAGTTTAAATTTGTATTAATTATAAATTTAAAGTTATTTTTTAATATATATATATTTTGCTTTAAAACTGCACCAAGGATTTGATTATAAATTCTCACTTAAAATTATGTAAATATAATAATTGTTTCTTTTTTTAAGAAAATTAAAAAAATACAAAGTTTTTTGTTTGTAGAAAACCACAACCTTTTCCTTTTTTTTTGAGAGAGAGAGAGAAATGAAGACAAATTTTGTAAAATAGAATTTAAAGAAAAATTTATTTATAATTATTTTATTATAAAAAAAGCATTATTTTCAATAAACATTAATGTAAAGCAATAGAAAAATATTAGCATTTAAAAAAACCAAGTATTGTCCTTTGAAACGATCATTAAACAAAGGGGGACCATTAGCCACTGGGGTTCATTTATCAATAGAGACTAACTAGAAAGCCAAATAATCCAGTTTATTTAATTTATCATTAGCACACCATCTCTCTCTAAGTTTTAACTTTAAATTGGAAATGCGAAAAGTGGCTTCTGCACCCCCTTTTATCAGTAATATCTTTTCTTAAACAACTCTGCTCTGAAATCATTTCTATAAAAGTAACTACTTATAACAGAACTAAGATTTTTTTATATTCTATTAAACATTGTCAAGATTTTTAAAGAAATGCTTTAGTTTTTTCTTTAATTTAAATAATAAATTTTCAATATCTTGGATATTGTTTTTATTATTTAATATTTATTAATATAAAATACATACAATAATTAATAATTCATATCAGTTTTATAAAAAAAAAAATAAAATATAAAATAAAAAAAAAACTATTGTATAGATCTCTATCGTTGTTTATTGTTTTTGTTGAGTTTAAGACAAATTCTATTTTAAATATTGTATTTGAATTAATTTATATAAAATAAAATGGCAATGTGTGTAAAATTGAATTAATAGTTTAATGGAATTGTTAAAACGTCTGCTAATCAGTGTAAATTTATAATTATTTGTTCGTTTTTAAGCATTAATTAGGGTCTGTTCTAGTAAATCTTTGCCCTTTTACACCAAAATCATAACGTTTTTTTTAATGTTATTTTTCTTTTTTAAATTAATGTTAATTTTTCTTATGGTTTATTGATGGGTATTGATGTGCGCCTGTTACTTAAGAGAAAAATTCGTATACATGTGTATATTTTTGTTTGTTTATATAGTATTTTGTGTCGTCACATTTGAGTTTTCTTTATTTGTTTTATTGTAGATTTGAGTTTTATTATTGTTTTGTAATAGTTCGCTTTATTTGTTTTAAGAATCGGTTTACCTCATTGGGTTCCGATTCTTTAAACGCTAGCGATTCCGTTTAGTCTTTCGGCTGACGTTACCCTCAATGATGATCTATAAAAAAGTTAAAAGGAATCAAAATTAATGTACATATTTATAATTAAAGTTGAAATGTTGAAAGAAACGTGAATCGGAGAAAATAATTAAAGGAGACATTTTGAAACAGTCTATCTATCTATCTATCTATCTATCTATCTATCTATCTATCTATCTATCTATCTATCTATCTATCTATCTATCTATCTATCTATCTATCTATCTATCTACCTATCTATCTATCTATCTATCTATCTATCTATCTATCTATCTATCTATCTATCTATTATCTATCTATCTACCTATCTATCTATCTATCTATCTATCTATCTATCTATCTATCTATCTATCTATCTCATCTATCTATCTATCTATCTATCTATCATCTATCTATCTAACCTACCTATCTATCTATCTATCTATCTATCTATCTATCTATCTATCTAATCTATCTATCTTATCTATCTAATCTATCTACCATCTATCTCTTATCTATCTATCTTCTATCTACTATCTATCGATCTATCTATTCTATCTATCTATCTATCTATCTATCTATTATCTATTCTATCTATCTATCTAATCTATCTATCTATCTATCTATCTATCTATCTACAATCTATCTATCTATCTATCTATCTATCTTCTATCTATTAATCTATCTTATCTATCTATCTTATCTATCTATAGTCAATCTAATCTCTATCTATCTATCTATCTATCTATCTATCTATCTATCTAATCTATCTAATCTATCTATCTATCTATCTATCTATCTATGCTATCTATCTATTCTATCTACTATCTATCTATCTATCTATCTATCTATCTATCTATCTATCTATCTATCTATCTATCTATCTATCTATCTATCTATCTATCTATCTATCTATCTATCTATCTATCTATCTATCTATCTATCTATCTATCTATCTATCTATCTATCTATCTATCTATCTATCTATCTATCTATCTATCTATCTATCTATCTATCTATCTATCTATCTATCTATCTATCTATCTATCTATCTATCTATCTATCTATCTACTCTATCTATCTATCTATCTATCTATCTATCTATCTATCTATCTATCTATCTATCTATCTATCTATCTATCTATCTATCTATCTATCTATCTATCTATCTATCATCTATCTATCTATCTATCTATCTATCTATCTATCTATCTATCTATCTATCTATCTATCTATCTATCTATCTATCTATCTATCTATCTATCTATCTATCTATCTATCTATCTATCTATCTATCTATCTATCTATCTATCTATCTATCTATCTATCTATCTATCTATCTATCTATCTATCTATCTATCTATCTATCTATCTATCTATCTATCTATCTATCTATCTATCTATCCTATCTATCTATCTATCTATCTATCTATCTATCTATCTATCTATCTATCTATCTATCTATCTATCTATCTATCTATCTATATCTATCTATCTATCTATCTATCTATCTATCTATCTATCTATCTATCTATCTATCTATCTATCTATCTATCTATCTATCTATCTATCTATCTATCTATCTCTATCTATCTATCTATCTATCTCTATCTATCTATCTATCTATCTATCTATCTATCTATCTATCTATCTATCTATCTATCTATCTATCTATCTATCTATCTCTATCTATCTATCTATCTATCTATCTATCTATCTATCTCTATCTATCTATCTATCTATCTATCTATCTATCTATCTATCTATCTATCTATCTATCTATCTATCATCTATCTATCTATCTATCTATCTATCTATCTATCTATCTATCTCTATCTATCGATATCTATCTTACCTGCAATATTTGACTGGCTTCAAAAGCAGTTCCGGGCAGTAATATAACCGGCGATGAGACATGTCCCGCCTCCACACACAACATATTCGGAAATTCATCATCACCGAAATCCCCTATTTCACGGGCCTTATCAATCCAAGGATTCCAAATAACGGTATCGGGGAAATTATACTTGTGTATACGCATTTTGCGGCCCGACACAACATTCGTTATAATGTGTTCTTGAGGCGTATGCTGGTAAATGCGATCGGTCCACTCATTTACCGTCACAACTTCACGGCCCTCTTGATACAAAGCACCATCGCGAGTCTAAGAACAACTTTATTAGAATTGAAGAAAAACATTTGATTTTTAGGACCACAAACCTTATCCATAAAGGTACAACCATGCAGTCCAGTTATTTGACAACGTCTAACATCAGGAACTTTTAAATACGTATGCAATAATAGATTAAATGTAAGCGCTAAGTCTTTACTAGGATTATAGACACCTATATGAAAATGTAATTCCTTTTCACGCAATATCAAACGATATGTGATGCGAAATCTATAAATAAATTATAATTTTAGAACTAATATTAAAATTTTGTTTTCTAAATTGTTAAACTTCTTACTGATAATTCCACATAGATCTAGTGAATTCATTGTCCATTAAAGAAAATATAGCCTCTACATCACCATTATGCAGCCGTTCCGGTGGTCTCTCTAAGTTCCATCGCGTTATGCGTGCAAAACCATGTTGAGCACCAAATGACCATGGACCGAATTGAGCTATTGGGAGGAGTTTAAAAAGACGAATAGTTATAATGAAAATGAACTCAACAGAAAATTGCTTAATTTGAGACTTACGGAAGACGAATGGTATGCCGCCACGTATTGCCTTTTTCCCATCAAAAGAGGCCAATTTGCTGTAAGTAAATGGAAAAAATTTATTAAGTTTACTATTATAATATAATAGTCTATATGCTTGTCTTTGGTTTAGACTATTTATAGTCTAGTCTATAGGCTATTGTCTAGCCTGTGGTCTATCTAGTCAATTCTAATGACATCTATCTATCTTCTATATATATAAAATTCTAACGTTACTGACTGACTGACTGATTCACTGACTGATTCATCATCGCACGCCTAAACGGTTAAAGCTAAAGAGCTGAAATTTGGACAGGAGGTTGGTCTTCCACCAAACAGATCCACTAAGACGGGATTTTTGGAAATTCGAATGTTTAGGGGGTAAAAAAGGGTAAAAACGGGTAAATTCGGTAACCTCATATCTCCTAAACTAGACAAGATACAAAAACAGTTTAAAGCATATCGTCGTTCATTTAAAAAATTATTGGACAGGTGTCTGGTACTTTTTTCAAATTCGGCCCCTTTAGGGAATAAACGGGTAAAAACTGTATTTTGGTACTTTCTTCGCACCCCATGTATCTTTTAAACCAGTGAACGTTCAAAAAATAACTTAACGAAAAAATATAAATTTAGTACTTTTTGGATATTCGTTCGTTTAAGGGGTTAAAATTGAACCTATTTTTGGTACTTTTTTCATAAAACATTGTTTTTGGTTTATTAACTTATACATATGAATACATAATAACGGGCTCCCACTACGATGTTGCAACTTTTTGGAATAGAATTTTTATTTCGCTAATGGGGAGAAAAAAAGTACCAAAAGGGGTAAAAACGGGAAATTTGATTTTATTCAAACACAATGATCCAATTTAGATAAAATTTTTAAACTTATAAACACTAAATACCTAATGGGATATTTTTTTGGTACTTTTTCATTCTCCAACTGGTACCTTTTGAGTTTTCTATGATATTGAAATAGAAACATGAAATTAATAATAAAGGGACTTTTCGCTACTTTTTCGTTCTACACAGGTACTTTTTTGAGTTTTCTTTAAAATTAACCCTAGAAACATTAAATTAAGCATGTAGAGCCCGGAGTAAATGAGAATCTATAAAAGGGGACTTTTTCGTACTTTTTCGTCCTTCGACTGGTACTTTTTGAGTTTTCTATAAAATTTAACTTAGAAACATGAAATTAATCATGTAGAGCCTGGAGTAAATTAGAATCTATAAAAGGGGACTTATTGGTACTTTATCGTAATTTGACTGGTACCTTTTTAGGTTTTCTATTAAATTGAACCTAGAAGTAAATGATAATCTATAAAAGGGAACTTTTTGGCACCTTTTCGTTCTTCAAAAGGTACTTTATAAATTTTCTATAATGTTGAACCTAGAAACATTAAATTATGAATGTAGAGCCCGGATTGAGAACCTATAAAAGGGGACTTTTTGGTACTTTTTCGTTCTTCAAAAGGTACTTTTTGAATTTTCTATAATATTGAACCTAGAAACATGAACTTAAACATGTAGAGCCTGGAGTAAATGAGAATATATAAGAGGGGACTTTTTGGTACTTTTTCGTTCTTCAAAAGGTACTTTTTGAATTTTCTATAATATTGAACCTAGAAACATGAAAATAAGCATGTTGAAAATAAGCATGTTTTTGGTACTTTTTCGTTCTTCAAAAGGTACTTTTTGTGTTTTTTATAACATGAAATTAACCATGTGGAGCCCGGAGTTAATGAGAATCTATAAAAGGGGACCCTTTGATAATTTTTCGTTCTTCAATTGGTACTTTTTGAATTTTCTATAATATTGAACTTAGGAACATGAAATTAAATAAAAGAGGTCTTTTGGTACTTTTTCGTACTTCATTGGTACTTTTTGATTTTTCTAAAATATTGAATATATAAACATAAATTTAAAAAGGGGACTTTTTGATATTGCAGATATATATACATTTACAATAATATTTATTTTATTCCATTACGATGAGGGTAGCGAAGCACAGTATAACAATCAATATTTGAAAAATCTTTCTATACTACTATTTTCATATTAGCTATAAATATAATTTCCTGACAAAATGTTATTTTCTATTCCATTCACAGTACCTAAGTATCTATGGCGTGTTCAAAGTAAAAGAACCATTTCAAATGAATATGTTTTGTTCAAAAAATTCTAGTAACAAACAAAAATCATAGCCACTTTAACAACAAAAACAACAAATATTTATTTTTATGGTTTAAAATCTCTAGTTAAAAAACAACTTAAGAATCTTGTATATATCTATATAAATATGATTCTTCAATAGGAATAACATAACAAACATTTAAACATTCACAAATCCAATGCATTCACACATAACGTGTTGTGAAAAACTATTCCAGACATTAAGAAATTTCGTATATTTTTTAACAAAAAAATATTAAATACTCTCGTTTGAATGTAGTACGTACGTACAAGTAATATTAACTTCAAAAAAATTGTCTGGGTTTTTTGTCTTGATGCTCGTGTTTTTTTTTTTGTGTTCTTTTCTTTACGTAATTCGCTTTTGAAGTTTAAATGAAGTAAAACTTTTTATTTTCTTTCATCAAAATCATCATCATCTACTACAAAGAGACGACTAAACACATACGGAACACGTTGCAGGAATACACAGTCGAATGGAGGAGAGACCCTCAAAGAAAATGATCAGTTAAGGAAGTTGAATTGGAACTATGTATATGCAAGCGAATGATGGCTGAAGAACTGAATCTAGTAGTTAGTTAGTTTGAAAGAATGATATACATATGTAAAATCAGGGCCTGCTCTGAGTTCCTTTACCAGATTATCTGGTGGGAATCGAATCCATGACCTCCAGTCCAACAACAGACTAGACCCACTAATGTATCGTTGACACCCAAGAACTGAATCTAACTATAAAGTAGCAAGTATCCTTCGAATAAGTTCCTTCAACGAATTAGCAAGTATCAAAAGTTTGTAGTATTTCGAGAGAGTGAGGTTCAGGTACCGGAAATAATAATGAGACCCAAGTATAACCTGAATTTTAAAAGTGCGAAAACGGTGTCAAAAGTCTATTTTACTCTCAGTACATCAACGACTTATCAAGACCTTATATATTTTTTAAAAATACCAGTTTATATTTTTTAAAAATATCTACCAGGGGTTTCCATAGTATTTTGCTTCAAGAATCCAGAAGATTTTATACAATATCATTGACCCCAAAACATTATCGGTTGGTGTCTATTCTGTTTTTTAACACTGTAGAGCGTCAAGACAAGTATCACTGCCCTGTCATTCTATATAAATTTTCTGAAAGTTTTTCAAAGATCATAATTCAGTTTAGATCCTTCTCTAATCTATAGTCTAGTCTTATAGTCTAGTCTATAGTCTAGTCATAGTCTAGTCTATAGTCTAGTCTATAGTCTAGTCTATAGTCTAGTCTATAGTCTAGTCTATAGTCTAGTCTATAGTCTAGTCTATAGTCTAGTCTATAGTCTAGTCTATAGTCTAGTCTATAGTCTAGTCTATAGTCTAGTCTATAGTCTAGTCTATAGTCTAGTCTATAGTCTAGTCTATAGTCTAGTCTATAGTCTAGTCTATAGTCTAGTCTATAGTCTAGTCTAGTCTATAGTCTAGTCTATAGTCTAGTCTAGTCTATAGTCTAGTCTATAGTCTAGTCTATAGTCTAGTCTATAGTCTAGTCTATAGTCTAGTCTATAGTCTAGTCTATAGTCTAGTCTATAGTCTAGTCTATAGTCTAGTCTATAGTCTAGTCTATAGTCTAGTCTATAGTCTAATCTATAGTCTAATCTATAGTCTAGTCTATAGTCTAGTCTATAGTCTAGTCTAGTCTACAGTCTAGTCTATAGTCTAGTCTATAGTCTAGTCTATAGTCTAGTCTATAGTCTAGTCTATAGTCTACTCTATAGTCTAGTCTACAGTCTAGTCTATAGTCTAGTCTATAGTCTAGTCTATAGTCTAGTCTATAGTCTAGTCTAGTCTATAGTCTAGTCTAGTCTATAGTCTAGTCTATAGTCTAGTCTATAGTCTAGTCTATAGTCTAGTCTATAGTCTAGTCTAGTCTATAGTCTAGTCTATAGTCTAGTCTAGTCTATAGTCTAGTCTATAGTCTAGTCTATAGTCTAGTCTATAGTCTAGTCTATAGTCTAGTCTATAGTCTAGTCTATAGTCTAGTCTATAGTCTAGTCTATAGTCTAGTCTATAGTGTATAGTCTAGTCTATAGTCTAGTCTATAGTCTAGTCTATAGTCTAGTCTATAGTCTAGTCTATAGTCTAGTCTATAGTCTAGTCTATAGTCTAGTCTATAGTCTAGTCTATAGTCTAGTCTATAGTCTAGTCTATAGTCTAGTCTATAGTCTAGTCTATAGTCTAGTCTATAGTCTAGTATATAGTCTAGTCTATAGTCTAGTCTATAGTCTAGTCTATAGTCTAGTCTATAGTCTAGTCTATAGTCTAGTCTATAGTCTAGTCTATAGTCTAGTCTATAGTCTATAGTCTAGTCTATAGTCTAGTCTATAGTCTAGTCTATAGTCTAGTCTATAGTCTAGTCTATAGTCTAGTCTATAGTCTAGTCTAGTCTAGTCTATAGTCTAGTCTATAGTCTAGTCTAGTCTAGTCTATAGTCTAGTCTATAGTCTAGTCTAGTCTATAGTCTAGTCTATAGTCTAGTCTATAGTCTAGTCTATAGTCTAGTCTATAGTCTAGTCTATAGTCTAGTCTATAGTCTAGTCTATAGTCTAGTCTATAGTCTAGTCTATAGTCTAGTCTATAGTCTAGTCTATAGTCTAGTCTATAGTCTAGTCTATAGTCTAGTCTATAGTCTAGTCTATAGTCTAGTCTATAGTCTAATCTATAGTCTAGTCTATAGTCTAGTCTATAGTCTAGTCTATAGTCTAGTCTATAGTCTAGTCTATAGTCTAGTCTATAGTCTAGTCTATAGTCTAGTCTATAGTCTAGTCTATAGTCTAGTCTATAGTCTAGTCTATAGTCTAGTCTATAGTCTAGTCTAGTCTATAGTCTAGTCTATAGTCTA